CTCCACCTCCCGGGTTCAAGCAATTCTTGTGCCTCCACCTCCCAAGTAGCTGGGATTACAGGAACGCCCCACCACACCTGGCTAATTTTTGTGATTTTAGTAGAAATGGGTTTCACCATGTTGGCCAGGCTGGTCTTGAACTCCTGACCTCAAGTGATCTGCCTGCCTCAGCCTCCCAAACTGCTGGGGTTACAGGCCTGAGCCACGGCACTCAGCCCATTTTTTTCTATTTCATGAACTGCATCACAAATGAAGCAGAGCCCTCTGGAGGACCCCTCTTTTCTTCCCAAGAATGTCTATGTCACTGAGAAAGGGATCCTCCCTCTTTATCTACACTTTCCTGACAAATCAAAATAGCCAGACCCACATGAGTGTTCTTGGTGCAGCCATCATGTCTTGTAGAACTCCCTCCACTCTGCCCAATGCAGACTCCAGCAGCAGAGCTTGCCGGGGCCTTAGCTTTTCTCTGCCTTATGCCAATGATTTGATTTGCTGTCCCTTCCTTATTGGCCTATTCTAAAAAAAAAACAAAAAAACAACAACAAAAAAAATAAAACCAAAAACTAGTCCTCCTGAACTCAGACATCAGTGTCCCCTCTCCTTCCTCATCAATGACTTACAGCCAGGACAAAAATAAACTGGGCAGGCAGATCACCTGAGGTCAGGAGTTCAAGACTAGCCTGGCCAACATGGTGAAACCCTGTCTCTACTAAAAATACAAAAAATTAGCCAGGCGTGGTGGCAGGCGCCTGTAGTCCCAGCTACTCTGGAGGGTAAGGCAGGAGAATCACTTGAACCCAGGAGGTGGAGGTTATAGTGAGCTGAGATTGTGGCACTGCACTCCAGCCTGGGCAACAGAGTGAGACTCCATCTCAAAAAAAAAAAGAAAAGAAAAGAAATCTACCCACCCTTCTTGCAAAGCTGGTATCAGGATCAGCCCTCTTAAGGTCAATTTTACTCAAGCTGTGTGCCCCAAGGCCTGTACCTTTCATCCCTCACATCTGCCCCAAGGGCAGTTGCCTAAGTTGCCCTGTCAAAAGATGTCCGCCTAACAACATCCTCATGACTTAGTCAAGATGGCCACATCCCTAAACTCTACTATCAACCTTCAGATTCTCTTAACTTGACTCACCAAGCCCCTTGCTCCTCCCAGCTCCCTCAGTCTTTGCTACTAACTTTTCGCCTCCATCAAAATTGTACAGGCTCCTCCCCAGCCTTTTGCTTCTATTTGGAGCCCCGGGATGATTCTTAAAATTAGGTTATCCCATTTAATCCCCAATGGAATCCCCCAAATTTCTCTCCTACATACTGTCATCTTTAGTACCACATGGTGACATCACCATCCAATTAAAGTACCCTAAACTCTGCACCAGACATCCTCCACTGTGCCATCTACCATCTTCCCTATAATAAAGCTCCCTCAATTCCAACATTCAAGGACAGGACATATCAACAGAAAAGTAAATAACCTTAAAACTCCCTTCCAACCTTGAAATTTTATTATCAACCTAATCCACTCCCAACCCCAAATGCATCCACATTTATTTTCCCATGTAACTCAACGGCATGCTTTTGAGAAAGAGCCTTCTAAGTTGAAAGAACCACAGGGCTAACCACTGTAACGCTAACCTACAACTCATCTCCAGAAGTCTCACTGAAGATTTTTGCAATTGTACTCCACCTCTGTACCAAAGGGACGACCTCCAAACTGCCTTAACAGTAGTCAAGCTGTGGCACAAAGTTACCGGACCCCCTTCCCACACTAACGTAAAGAGCCTCTAAACCCTGGGCTAGATGCTTGCTCTCCAAATGATGCCTGTGCTTACTGTCTACTCCAGGAGACATCAAGAATGAATATCACCCCATCGACAGTTTCGATCAGCCAACATTGAAAATTTCAAAACAATAAAACGAAAACATAGTGCTTCCACTCAGGGAGGGAGGAGGTGCGAGCGGAATAGAAGGGCACCCCCACGGGCCTGTGCTGTTGGCCTCCCGGGTTTGCAGTGTTTCCCTCCCACCTTTCCCCTCGACCACGTCTTTCCCTACAACAATCTCCCGCACCTCCATAACGCGAAATCCCCAGCCGAGGTGCGGCCGGCTCCTCCCAGCCTTGCCCCGGACGTCCCTCTGGCCCAGCCTTCCTCTCGGCGGGACCCCGGCGAGGAGGGCCCCCTCCACCGACCCGTTCACCTCCCTATCCCTTCCCCGGCCTCTTGGCGCCCCTGCAGGGCTCTGTCCCGAAGCCGAACCTCGAGAAGCCAAGCCCACGAGGCCCGTCGCGGGACCCACACCCCCCTTCCTTCTCCCAGCACCTCGTCCTCCATGCACCCGGCCCCCGGGGCTCCTCGTCGTCGTCGTCCCGACTCGTACCGCCCCCCGTCGGGGGCTCCACCCCCCCGCCTGCCCCCGCCCCCAGGACGGCCCCCTCCCCACCGCGCGCCGCCTGCGCCCTCTGCTCCGGCACGGGACTCTCTTTGGCCTCCGTTCCCCGCCCAGAAGCGGCGGCGGCGGCGGCGGCAACGGCTGCGGCGGCCCCAGCAGGAGCAGCAGCGGCGGCGGCGGCAGCGGCGGCGGCAGCAGCGCCGCCCCGGCCCCGCCCCGCCGCCCGCCGGAGCCCCACGCCCCGCCCGCCCGCCCCGCCGCCGGACTGCTCCCCCCGAAGCCCACCACTAAGCCCTCCCACTCCCCGGCCGCGATCCGCTCGAATCCAGCTCCGCTGGGCCTGCTGTCCGTTCCTCACGCCCCTTAGGACCCGGGGTGGGGGAGCCCTGGGGTTCGCGGCCATCCCTCTCCCTCCTTCTCCAAGGGCCGGGGGATTGCCCCTGATCCCGAAACCCGGCCCCGTAACCGGAGCCTCCCTCCTTCCAGCCCTCGGCTTCGCTCGCCGACCCCTTGCCTCCAGGCCTGGCGCGAAGCGGGTGGAGGGCTTGCACGCCGGATCTCCCCTCTGGCTTGCCGGTGCTAGTGTGAATTGCCCCCGATCTCATCTTCCTTCAATTTAAGCCCCCTCCCCGCCGCGCCCGGCCCGGCGGCCCCCGCCCCTAGAGCGAGGGCAGCGGAGCCAGGGCGCTCCGAAGTCATCCCCCGCCTTTTTTCCAGGGACTCGGATAATTGCCCCTGCCCCCATCACAGCACTCCCACTCCCGAACCCAGGCCCCGCCGCCACCTAGGGGTACCCCTTACCCTACGGTTCCCGCACCCCAGCGCCGGGAAGAAAGCAGCCCTGAAGAGCACCCGTCGCACCTCCCCTCTGAGGCTGGAGGGTATTTTCTCCTGGTCTCTTCAAGACTTCATCACGGACACCCCCCCCCAAAAAAAAAAAAAAAAAAAAAAGCCTTTTCTCGCCCTGCCCTGCTAGCCAGCCTCCCTTCGGATCGTCGGATCCCTGGATCGGGGGTTGGGGTCAGGTAGTTAACAAGACCATAGCCTCCACCTCCTTTTCTGAGGAGTGGGGTAATTCCTATGGTTTCCCCCCCAGGATCAACCGACCCCCGTTTCCATGGAGACCCCCGCCCAGCCGGGAAGAAGACTCTCCGATCGCGGCGAACGAGTCTCACCTGGCTAAGAGAGAAGGGGGTCGAGGAGGGGGTAGGGCAAGTCAGGGGATGGGGTACGAAGGTGGGAAGTAGAGGGGAGCTGTCCCGAAGGGAGGGGCGAAGACAGAGCCAGCTCCAGGGAGCGCTACGTCCGGGGACACGAAGAGGACGGCGCCCCCGGGGGGCAAGCCGAGCGGCCGCAGGGAGAAGAAGGAACAGGGTTGGAGAAAGGCTTAAGATAGAAAGAAGCGGGTGGGGGGGATACGAAAAAGCCGGGGAGTCAAAAGGGGTGGAGGGGTTGGGGGAGAGAGAAAAAAGACGCACCTGTTCCCGGGTCGGCTCCGCGGGGAGGCTCAGGCCGCCACCCGGGCTCCCTCTTACTCCCTCTTAACCGCCACCCGCCTAATACTGCCCCGATCTGATGCCGCCCTCCGCCCCTTATCGCCACCGACCTCCTTCTCCTCTCTCTCGGCGGCGGCGGCGGTCGGACTCTAGGAACTGAGAGGAAGAAGGGAGGGCTCAGCAAAGCGGAGGAGAGACAGAGCCACACACTGGCAGCAGCCGCGGCGAGCGAAAGAGTGAGGGGGAGAGCGGTGTGTGTGTGTGTCTGTGTGCGAGCGAAGCCTGGTGGAGTGGGTGCCGGTCGCAGGGCTCGACGGGAAGTGGAGTCCGGCTGGGTCCGCGGGCGGCGCCAACCCCCGCGCCACCGGACTACAACTCCCAGAATGCCGCCTACGCGGGTGGGGGGAATGGGGAGGAGGAGGCGAAGGGAGGGAGCGAGCAAGAGAGGGAGGGACGAAAGCAGGGAGCAAGCGGCGGCGAAGGGGGCAGAGCCAAGCAGCCCCGGTGACACTGGGAGGGGAGGAGAGGAGGAGGGGATCGCTGAGAGGACCGAGCGGATTCCGGAGAGGGAGGCAGCAGTGGCTGCAGCAAGCTGGGCAAAAAGCTAGACTCCCGGGAGAGGCGGAGGCGCTCAATCTGCGGGGCTGCAGGAGCCCCACGTCGCCCCCCCCCGCCTCGACGCCCCTCGAAGGGGGAGGTTGAGGAAGGGAGAGGGTCAGTGAGCCGCGGCCGAGGGGTTCCCTCTCTTTCTTCCAACGCTCTCTACCTTATGCCCCGACCTGACTTTCTCAGGCCACTGGTGTCCATCCAGTGTGCAAATCTCGAGACCCCAGATCTCCTCTGCTGGGCAGCAGAGAACAGACGCATTCAGTCCCCTTCTCCCAGGGGCCTGAGGGAGGCTCCCCTTGCAGGCAGGGCGTGACTCCCCCTTCTTCCCGCCCCCCTCTACCGTCGTTCTCACCCCCCATCTCCCTCCCCGGAACCCCTCCCCTGAAGCCGGGGCTCGCCTCTCTGTCTCCCCGCCAAGACACGGAGTCCCTCTGGGGACAACTACCCAGCCCCCTCCCTTATACTGGGCCCCTACCCACCAGTATCCCCTTCTTAGCGTTGCCCCCTCACCGAAATAATGGTGGGGGTGACCCGAGTTGGACTGGTGGCTACTTTCCCTCCAAGGCTAGCCGTCCTTCCTCACGCCGACCCTGTGTAGAAATAGAGAAGCATATTAATACTCCCGTCCCCCCTCCCCCCCAGGTTTGGATACCCGTGGAAGTGGCTCACAAGAAAGAGGGGTTGGTAGTGGAAGTGAGCTGGGGTTGAATCCCAATCTTCAAACCTCATCCCTGCCATGGAAATCCAGGTATTCGCCTTTTGCTTAACAGCCATTAAATCGCTTGGGTGGGGGGTAAATTATCTAAACCCCAATGTCCACGCGACTCGAAGCGACGCTACCTTGTAGGAATAAGATACGAACTAGGTTGCCGCCGCGGGAAGGAAAGTATCCCCCACCCCCGTCGCCGTCCACCCCCAAAAACACATACCCCTAGGAGAGTCAGATGGCTGAAGAAGGGGAAAGGAGGTGGGAGTGCTGGAGAGTAAAAAGACTGTGGCGGGGAGGGTCCGCGGCCCCCACTATGAGAGCAGAATCCAGATGCTAAAAGGTGGGTGGGGGGTGCGGCATAATCGCAGACGGTGTCTTTCCTCGCTTTTCCCGGAATCGCCGCTCGATCACCGTCTAACACTCGGAGTTGCTTACCACTCAGTCCCCTAGCCCCATTTGTGCGCGTGAGGCGGTCGGAGCCCGGGAAGCCCGGGCACAAACTCCGCGGAAGCTGGCCTTCGCTGCCGCCGCGCTGCCGCGGGCCTCCCTCCCTCCGCTCGCGGCCCCGCCGATCTACCTTCGCCCCCGGCCGAGGCCAGACCCCGCTCCACAACTCCACGCCCCTACTCCACCCCCGGCTCTCCCTCCCCTCGCCCTCTCCCTGCGGGTCCGGCCCAGCCCCTAGCGCCGCCCCGCCCTACCGCTCGGTCCAGAGCCCAGCAAGTGCCCCGAACTCGCCCCCCGCCCCCACGCCCAGGCCAGTCCGGCCAGGCCTGGTTTCCCCCTCCCGCCGCGCCCCGCCCCCGAATCCACGTCCTACTTCGCCACCCAACTCGGCCCGGTCCGGGTTCGGCCTGCGCCCACGCCACCGGAGTCCCCGATTCGGTCCGGTGTACGGCCACCCACCCCGCCCTTGCCTGGGTGCTGGCCTGGCCCGCTGCCTGCGCCCGCCGAGCCGGCCCAAGCGCGCGGTCCGGGTCCGGGTCCAGGTGCCGGCCTCGGTCCCGGCAGTGTTGCCGCGACTCGCCACGAGGGCTCGTTCCACGCAAGATCGGAACCCACGCGGGGTGGGGGCCGCGGGAAGCAAGTTTCTTTATCCTCCCCCCGCCCCCGCCGTAGGGCCGCACCGTTCCCCCACCACCCCCGCCTCACGGCGCCCCCTTTACCTGGGCAGAGCCCCCAGCCGCTGTCGCAACTTTGCTCTTCTCCACGCCGCCGGGGAAGCGGGCGAAGCGGGAGGAGGGAGGTGGCGGGGGGTGCTGGGATCAGGCCGCTGGGCTCCGGGAGGACACGTGGGGGAGGAGGGGAAGGAGGAGGAGGAAGGGGGGGGCGGGCCTGCAGTTCTCGGGGCTCCCCCTGCCAGCCCGGGGAAGCCGGAACCTCGCTGGGCAGCCGCAGACCCCGCACTGGCCACGGGGGAAGAACGGAGCCACCTTCCTCGGCCAGCCCCCGGCTCCAGGAGGGGGGGGGGTCGAGCAACGCGCTGTTCGGGTCGGAGAGCCAGCGATTTCGCTCGTGCTCTGTGTGACTCTCTTCCCCCTGTTTTAGCCTCAGTGTATGTTGGGGGGGGGCGCAAAGGGTCTTGCATGCGGTGGGGAAGACGTCCCCGCCGGATGCCCCGCCCCTCCCCCGGCCCCCCACTTCCCCACCCTGGGCGACCTCAGTGCGTGGTTCTGGCGCTCAGGCTCCGAGGCCGCCCGCGGGCGCAGCCCCAGCCCCGGCGCCGAAGTGGGACAGGTGCTGGGGAAAGGAAAATGCCGGGGCTCGCCGCCTCGACTCTCGTCTCCGGGGCGGCCCACCCTTGGTGGCAACCTCCCCGGCTGCAAACCCCCTGGGCCACCCTCAGTGGGCAACACCACCTGGGCGTGGAGGCATCTGGGGATGGAGGCGAGGTGGGGGGCGGGTGGCTAGAGACCCGAGAGAGGAAGAAGGAGGAAGGGGATGAAAGGTCTGTGTAAGGTGGGAAGCCTGCACGATTCGGAGCCAAAAGCCCAGCTCTAAGAGGACTCGCTTATGCCGGCTTTCCTTGGGCTCCTCAGTCACCAATCCGAGCCCCTTTGACCCTTACCCTTTACCCTAACGACTCTCTGCCTGGCCAAAGGAATAAACCCTCGTGTGTGTTTACATCCCAGATCATCCCTGGGACTGAAGGGCTGAGAAGCTTGCGGTCCACATTCGAACTCTGATGACTTTACATTGACTCCGAGGAGAGCAGCTAGCAGCTTGCGAAGAAGCTGAAGCTGCCAGCCGATTTGCTTTCAGTCTTAGGGTGTTTCTTAGCTCCAGCCCTGAGCCCGTGATAGGGACTTCAAAGGCATCGCCTCAGCCTAGAGGGTATTAGGGGAGGTGCCCAGCGTTCCTGGAGGATTCAGTGCTTTGTAAACGGAATTTGAAATGAATAGCAGGAATTCAAAAAAAGTCTTTATGTGCAGATATATTGATATTATTTGTTATATATTTATCCATGCTGAGGAAGTCAGAGGGTCATTTGGACTAGAAGGAAGCCCTGCCAGATCAATGTCTTCCTCCTCCTCCTCCCCACCCCACCTCGCTCCTGCTAGGCCCAGAGGTTCCATCTCTTAGCTTGGATGTGTCTTCTCTCCTATGGAAGTACTTTAGAGATGGCAGTTGAGCCTTGCCTGGTATGTCTCCCTCACCTGGTGTGAGGGATGTGGGTGAGCATTGGAGCAAGCTATCTAAGGCTGCAGTGGCTTTGCTGTTGCCTGAGGCCTGGTGTTCTAGGACCCCTCTTGCTTGTCCTCACCACCATCAAAAACTATTGCCAGCAACGTGGACATGGCGCTGGCCATTTTATTTTGCTTTGGGAACCTCTCCCCAAGACATTCTACTTGGCCACTCCTAACCTCTCATGCACCCCACCCCTACTCCTGCACACTGCATATACACACACACACACACCCCTTAAAAAATATTTGGCCTAAGTTGCATCAAGGGGAACGTGAAGATTTGGAAATGATCTGTTTAAGCCAATCAATATGTGAACTCAAAATGCATTATTAAGGAGGAAATCGCCTCCGTGGGGCCTGATGATGCAGACCCCACCAATTCTGCTTTGATTTAAGTTGAGTTTACTGTCATCGCTGATTTTAATTAACCCAGAAATTACTAAATCTCCATTTCTTGAAAGCCCTTAGGGCTTTAGGGCTACTTTGCTCCTTGGTTTGAGGCCGAAACAGATCCTGAACACCTCTATTCGCACTAGTCTGTGTCTCACCATTTGGCTGCCTCATTTATCTGGCGAAACGAAGGTTGGGGCAAGATGATTATTTCCTGGCTGAAGCTCTAGCTCCTCTGAGCCCTTTCCTGTTGGGGGCCAGGCTTCCTGCCCTACAGGAGATGATGGGAAACCAAGGAGCAGGGTGGGGAGAGCTGTGGGAAACCTTGTGAAGAATGTAGATGTTAATGATTATTTTATTTGAGGCTAGAACCACAACATAACCATAATAATAATAATACCTACCTTTGTATAGCATTGGAGTGTTTACAAAACTCTTTCACTTGTGTTATTTCATTTGTTTCTCACTATAACTCTCCATGTTGTAATTGAGGAAACTGAGTCTATGAGCATCTGTGAGTGGCTTGCTCAAGATCACATGGCTGGTGAGTTCCTGAGCCAGGACTCAACCCCAGTAGTCCTAACTCTACATCCAGGGTTCTTTTCAGTATGGTATAGCGCCTCCATGTAATGCCAAAATAGTCTTTTTCAGGCAGATTGCTTTTCTTAATTATTTCTCCTATCAGTAACATCTACTGACCAAGGCCTGGACTCTCAGAGAGGCAGCTTGGTGTAATGGAAAGAGGGTTGTTTGGGAAAGTGCTAAGAACCAGGTCCTAGTCCTTCCTTACCCATCGCTAGCAATGGGACCTCAAGCAATCCCTGACATTTGACTGAGTAGTGCCAGCCTGATACCACGGACTGTATTTTGGTCTTCTCTTTACCTCTTAAATATGGATATCAATGTACCTGCCCTACCTCCCTCACAGGAACATCCCGTGAGCAATGAGGTACGGATGGGAAAGAGTTTTGTATACTGTAAACTACTGGATTCATGCTGGAGTTTTTTTGGTTTTGGTTTTTGGGGATTTTTTTTTTTTTTTTTTTTTTGAGACAGGGTCTCACTCTGTTGCCCAGGTTGGAGTGCAGTGGTGCAATCATGGCTCACAGCAACTTCAAACTCCTGGACTCAAGCGATCCTCCTGGACTCAAGCGATCCTCCTGCCTCAGCCTCCCAAGTAGCTGGGGCTACAGCATGCACCACCACCACCACACCCAGCTAATTTTTTTTTTTTTTTTTCACTTTTAGTAGAGACAAGCTCTTGCTATGTTACCCAGCTGGTCTTGAACTGCTGGACTGAAGTGATCCTTTAGTCTCGGGGTCTCAAAGTGCTGGGGTTACAGGTGTGAGCCACTGCACCCAACCATGCAGGAGTTATCAGTGTCAGCATCACCAAACTCCTTAGGTGTAGCACAGAGGACTAAGGGTGATACGGGCCTGGGCTCTGCCCTCCTGAAACTTACTAGATAAAGCAGGACATTTCGGGGGTCCCAGGGTAATTTAGGCCCCAAACCAACCTCTAACTAAATCCATAGGGTAATTAGTTTAATCCTCTGCTTTGTTCTGTGATCAGAGCCCTTGTCTCGCTGGTAAAACAGCCCAGCCCTATGCCCCCACCCCGCCCCCCACCCCCCAAAAAAATTCCAGTGGTTTAGATCTTTAGAGTTATCAGAATGAAGCAAATTTGAAGCTTCTAGTTGTCCCTTTGTTCCCTGCACCTCAATCAATTGAAGGTGAAGTTAGTTTTGGAACTTAGGATCTCAGGACTGCCAAAGGGCTCATTCTAAGTTACCTGTCTTGAAAGGGACCGGGTTAGGGGGGCGGGGCGGGGAAACAGAAAGAGCTGTGCAAACTGCAGGAAAGAGTGACCATGTGTTACACTGTGAGCTCTCTAGTGTTTCACTTATGTTTCAGGGGACAAGCGGGGTAGGGGAGGAGTCCTTGCCCCTATTTGTTATTGGTAAATTTCAAAGGCATGAGCCTTTTTTGCAAGAAGGGTTGCTAAGGTAGATATATTCCAGCTGCCTACAGAGTACTGGATACTAAGTACTGGCTCCCAGAGAACAAATGGCCTGGTCTCTGCCCTCTGAGAGCCCCAGGTGTGGATGGGAAGACAGCATGTCCGGATAAACTGAACTCTGTAAACAACCAACAACCTTTTTGGATTTTATAGCCAAGGGAGTGAAAATGAGGAAAGGGGCTGAAATCACCCCAGAGGCCTCACCAGGTCAAGCTCTTCAGCTTGCTGACCACTCGCCTCTTCCCTGAGACTCCTAGGCTCTAAACAAAGTTCTTTCTTAAAAATTAATTTTTTTTAACATTAGAGATGAGGGGCAGAGGGTCTTGCAATGTTGCCCAGGCTGGTCTGGAACTCCTGGGCTCAAGTGATCCTCCAGCCTTGGCCTTCCAAAATGCTGGGATTATAGGTGTGTGAGCCACCATGCGCAGCCAACAAAGTTCTTAATCAAACATGCAGTGCTAGAAGTGGAAGGGACTCTAAGAAATCT